ATTGCAAAACACCATTCGATAGAGCAAAGCAATCTCTACAAGGTGGCAATCTTGCTTTAGCAACAGCTCTGATCCACCACGAGTTTCGAGCCAAAAACTGAAAAGATTCAACTGTCCGAAAAATTGAGAAAAATCGTAACTCGGTCCGTAAAAAACCTACAAAAATTTTAACTTGCTCACGTAAACACTATTCTCATAAGACATCTATATACACCTTTGCCGTATTTTTTCTCCGTTAAAAATCAAGAAAACGGAAATTTTCGTTTGTCAAAGTGATGCTGTGCCCTTTCCACATAGGTAGTTGTAATACTACAGACCTATAGAAGTACTAACGCAAATTTTCAGCTCTCTACAAGCTTTAGTTCTCGAGTTATATCGATTGCAGCTTTCCCTAGTCAGATGGTCCAAGCTAAAATTCAAATTTCTCGAGAACTAAAGCTTGTAGAGAGCTGAAAATTTACGTTTGTACTTCTACAGATTTGTAGTATACAACTACTTATGTGGGAACGGCACAGCAACACTTTGGCAAATGCACGAAAATTTCCGTTTACTTGATTTCTAACAGAGAAAAAAATACGGCAAAGGCGTATATAGATGTCTTATGTGATTAGTGTTTACGTGACCAAGTTAGAATTTTTGAAGGTTTTTTAGGAACTGAGTTACGATTTTTTTCAATTTTTCGGACAGTTGAATCTTTTTAGTTTTTGGCTCGAAACTCGTGTTGAACCAGAGTTTTCGCTAAAGCAAGATTGCCACCTTGTAGAGATTGCTTTGCTCTATCGAATTTTGTTTTTGCACCCTACTTAGAAATGAGAAGTGTATGACTTATTGCGGTTGGAATTCAAAACCTGCATTAATTTTGTTACAACCTAATAGATGAAACCCCTCTCTTCCGATCCAGCTGAGAAACTGCAGAATTTCTTACTCAACGCAGGTTTGTGGAGCGAAATACATGTGAGTGCGTCTTCAAGGCCAAAAAGCAGACAATCAGCTCTTTTTGGAGGTATGTCACAGCTTGACCAATGCAGCTGTTTAACGTTTTTGGATGTGTGCCTACCTAAAAAAATTCGGGAGCTAAGAAGTGCTTTAATCAGTAAAAACTCCAGGTGGACCTATAATTCTGGCCAGCCTTCAAGCCTGAAATCCAAAAATCAACCGGAAGGACGAGTGCCTAGCCATTACTAACGAGCTGTCGCCATATCAGAGCCTCTGTGGCTTTTGAATAATGGGGTCAGGTTCAGAACCGGGTCACTAATTAACTATAAAAGTAAAGCAGTACAGCTTTTTGACATAGTGGTCTGCACCCACCAAATTTTTCATCTGCTAAGGTGAGCACTAGCTTAATCTTAGTTTTGGTTGAGGCTGTTGTTTTTCTTAAAGGGTTGGGCTCTTTTCTGTGGTCGATGAGGTGTTTGATCGGATAGTTTACTTATGTGTCTTCGACTTTTTCAGACTCTGAAGAAGGCGAGTTCGCCGAAACGTTAGTCTGTTATTCTGTGCGATAAAGTTCTGTACCAATCTTGGATTACGCTCAAGCAATTAACGAGAAGATTGCAACTATGCCAAGATTCATGGATAGTCGAACATGGATGCTTCAAGCCTGCTTTTTTCAAAATTTCTAATTTTTTCTTGAATAATCAAACGAAAACGAGAACCGTTTTGAAGACTGATAGTAGGCTGGTAAGCACACGTCTCTACCAAATTTTGGGAAATTTCATTCACAACAGAGTGAGTTATGGCATTTTTTAGAGTGGACCTATAATTTTGGCCAGCACTGTAGCAAAGTAATTGGTGTAATCATATTTCAAAGGGGCTTTGTTGAAGGCTGTCACTCACAGAGTGTACCAAAAGTATGTACCCAAATATTTGACCATTGACACATCTCCTCAAAAGGTGTCGTTTGCCTACTATCATCTGCCATTATGTGGAACTGGCTTCAACTTAGGCTTACAATAGGAAGCGAGCCACCGTTCGCTCTTCTTACTGTGGGGCTCTGTGGGAACTTTCGGCATATGGAGTCACTTTGAAAAGGTGCCGGTTCGACTAATTTTAAAGAGGCTAAACTCGTGTAATCGGTTTTCATGGACGCTGAATACATACTCAACTTTACGCTGTAAAGGAACACTCTCGGAGTATGCGAACGTGTAGCAAATATAAAAATACATCGATACAGCCAAGCTGGGTTGCCGTGAGCGTAATTTAACTGCAATTGCAGCGGCGCACGCCGCAGGCTGCCACGTACTGTTGTGTAGCATGTACGAATCCACAGTTTGAGATTTTTTAAGTTGTTTGGTTTGCTTTCTGACGCGAAATAGGGCTCGCAATGGCTCAAAGTTTTCTTTAGGAATCCTACCGTGATCTTACAATGATGAAAAGCGATTGGTGGTTACTAAACATCGTAAATCTAAGCCAAACTTAGCTCTGCAACAATGTTTTTGAAAAAAGAGGGCGTTTCCTGATTAATCGTTTTCGCAAGAGAGTTTGAAAGCGACGTCCACGCAAATCTAGGGTCACACAGGGGCACTTAGCGTCGCAAGCGGAAATTGACTTCGGGAACTTACCTAAGGGCCGCATACCTTGATATCTCTACCGAGGAGGGAAGAATCGCACTTTGAAGAAAGTTTCACATCTTAAAGCTTCAGATGCCTAGAGTTCACGCTGTCCATCCATTCAGAGTAATGGCGTACCGAGGGGAGGAGCCAAGTGGGTAGCAAAATTTTTCAACCATCACGAGTTACAAAAATGTACAACTAACTTGTTTATACTTGTAAGTAATCAAAACAATTTTCTAAATTTTCTGAAAATTCGATTTATCAAACGATTTTTTCAACTGACACCACTACCCCTTTTTCCAAAATTCCGGAGTTATGGGCTCACGGAAATTTTGAGAAGCATACCAAAAATTTTTACTGGGTGCATGGTTAACGCCACGCACCTTCATCAAAAAATCTTTTTATCGCCCCTCTCCCCGAACGGAAATGGTGGGTACGCCACTTATCCACAGGTATTCTACCATCCTTAACTATGAACATACTGAGGGGCGAAAAGTGTACAAGTCGGTGCAGCTTTTTGTATGACTCTCTGTAATCCGCAGTTGTCAACCGTCTTTTTTTTGAAAGTAATTTTTCTTTTCTTAAACTTATCCAAAACATTCCAAGTCGTACTATGAATAACCCAACAGTACCAAGCATTTTCTAATATAAACAAACAAATTTCTGAAAGTTTTAGTATTTTGATAAACCCTAAATTGACTTGTGGTTATCATTTCTCTGATACTTCAAATGTTTTGGTTAAAAGACGTTTAGCATTGTTAGTTTAGAAGATCTAGACAGCTTTGAAATGTTTTCAGTAAATTCAAAGGAGCAAGGATTACTTTGGAATAAACTCGGCCCTTGTGATCTCCAGGGATCATACAAAAACCTGGAAAATACGCCTCATACAATGTTTTGCTCCTGTTTCTGTTCAAAGTGTAATATGAATAGTTACGGATGGACAGCCACCATGAAACCCAGATATCTGACATCAGATATCCGGAGCTTCAGGATTTGAAAGCTTTCTTTTAGAGTCAGCGGCTAGGCAGATTCTCGATTTGAAGTTTTTTTTGCTTACCTGGGGTAAATCGAGGCGCTGATTCCGAAAAACTACATTGAAGAGTTCGAAAACGGCAAAAACCACCATTTTCCTAGGCCTGCCATTTTCAATTTGAACGAGTGGAGTACGTCCCGCCATGGTCAGAGAGGCAGAATCGCTGCGGGACCCTCGCAGTTATAGGATTGCGGCATGCCTTCTCTACGGATCAGGGAAAATCGCAAGCTCGTCCGCGCGTGTTAGAATGGCTTGCGCGTAACGGATCTAGGGACAGTTTTCTAGGCAAGGGCAGCGTGCTGTGCGCTCGGACCTGCTCTGTTCTCATGTTTGGAGTGCAAGCAACCTTACATGTCAAAATTTTGGAACGTTCGTTTTAGCGAGCTGCTGCCTTCAAGCTAAGACTCCTCCCCGGCGATTTTAATGCATGCGGCCCCTAAACAAGCCAGGCGGCAGCGCACCGTGCCTGAGCTTCGTGCCTAAACCAAATCACAGTATTGTATCAGCGAACGATTGCAACAGTTTCCGTGCTAGCATGTGACTCATTTGCCTCGTCGATCCTCGCGCAGAACTGCAAACCTATGCAAGTCGTCTGCTGATTTCGGTACTGGGGCAGGTGTCTTGCTTTTGAAGATCAAAGTTCTATACATTTTTTGCGACACTCTGCATAGTATGTATACACACTCATACATATTGTACTTGCGACTGTATGAAATTCGCGCTCAAAGGACGGGAAAAGCGAGTTGATCGAGAAATCCACTCCATCTCCTACCCCTTGCTCCTGTCAGTTACAAATTACATACATGCAGACCGCAAAATCCTAAAATATAGCAATTTCGAGTCGGAACTGTGGAACTTATCGTGACTAGTCTTCAAATCTAGCCTAATTCAATTATGTCAAAGGCTTGCAAGTTTTTGCAACATCACATACTCCCAAGTTTGAAGTATTACTCCAGAACGGACATAAAGGTTATTTTTATTTTGATAGCGGGATCATTATGCGCGGCACAGCGATCATATGCTTATAGGCACAACAATTCATTATGACCGAGAAAAACTTCCTCTTATGCAGATAAGATCCTCTTTATTGAAAAGAGAATTTCCATAACTTTTGAGAATTTTTGATTCTGCGTGTTAGTAAAAAAGAGAAGAGTAGAGTAAAAAAGGCCTGATTGATGTCAGAATCTTGTGCTTGACATCCATAGAGCAACAGATAGTTCCTGAAAAGTGGTGAATTGTAAGTCATATCTTCTTAGCATTGTGCTGATGGTACGATGATGGTACGAAGACTACATAACAAAAGATACAATTCTTCTTTGTATTTTTACAAAACAAATTTTGGTTTACAATTTTTGCTTTGAATGCTGGTTAATTCTTATACTATTCAGTTTCAACCAGCAACAAACTTCACAGAGATGGACTACAAGGATTTCAATAATAGTAAACGTGGATCGTCTTTACTGCGACGATTTGAGGCAGGAATCAAACGGACTTGCAAAACGCTTCCCATACCATTTCAGTACTGCATCTGTCAATACGCAACATCTGCAGTGACGTAAGTTGCACTCAATCCTTGCTTCCAATCTTTCTTCTTTTTGCAGTGATGAAAAGTTGAGACAAAAACTAGCTACATTTGCTGTTGAACAACTAGATCTACTTCTACAATCTGAAGGAGTTTCGTCTTCGTGTGAGAATGTGAAACTGAAAAAGGTAAACTATGTGACTTTTTGCATATTGGACTAGAAATCATTCAAAAGTCTAGAGTGAAAAAATATACCTCATCAGCCTGGATGACGTAGTGATCCCACAAATTTGAGATTGGCTTAGTGTAAGGAGAAGAACGAAACGGAAAAAGTACAACACTTTATTTCTTCTAACAAATGTTCTTGTTCATGTGTGATGTTAGACACCACTAGGACAAACTTCACTCATAAAAAAAGCTCCACTGAACTTTTTTAAAATTAGGGAGGCATTCGCATATTCTATAGCGCGTGTTAGGTGTTAGGGGATTAGCAAAAAAGTAGCATTCTCGAGGTCCTATCCAGAGAGATGCCTTCAAGCACCTTGACTTTTTGCGTTCTCAGTCCGAAACAGCCTCTTTCCTCTCTTATCGAATGCTGGCACAGCACGTTTGTTTAGTCAGACTCAGCATTCTTCTAGATCTTGATCTGTTGACAGTTAATCTTAGCGAGAGGCTACTGTATCATGCGTAGCGCCCTCTTGCAATAGATTTACCATTTTTAATGTTTGGCATTGAAGAGTGTTGCCTCGAATGGATGGACTCTCTTAAACTAGTAAAGTACTTTGACCCAGGGCTCGGCACAGGTCTTATAAGCAAGCTGGATATCGTTTTTGGGACAAAAAGCAATGGGGGTTTTGTTTTTGTGGCCGCAAATACAGAAAATTTGCAACGTTTTTTTAGTCGACCTTTCGTTTTTTGGAGGTCATTTAGGGATTATGGCCTAGGGTCAAAGGGGACTTCGTGAAAATTCGCAAAAGTTAGGGGAAACTTCTTTTTTTGCATTTTTATCTAGCCACCTCGTGCCGAGCCCTACTTTGACCTTACTCAAAATCTGCTGTGTTTTTATGCAATTGATGTTGCCAGCTAATCTCTTGTAATTTTAGGAGTGACTGAACGGATGTTTGCAGCAATTATTGATACTTGCATCAAAATTTCAAATATAAGCAATGAGGAACTTACAACAGCGCCCATATAATGTCCAAGATGCAATGAAGGCATGCGATGCGTGAAGCTGGCCGGTGTCCACACTATATCCCGTTCCCAGTTTTCTTAAATTTTTCTGCGGACATCTTTTCGCAACTACTTTACGCAGCGCACATAACGCATAAAAGACTCTAGTAAAGTTATTTCTTAGTGCTGTTTCTGCAGATTATCGGACGCTAGAAAGCAGCCGCAAACACCTTTTCAAAAAAAAGAAGAGCTGTTAAATCTGAAAAAATCATGTTGTCCTAAACTCTTCTTATCATATTAGGGTGATCGGTAAAAAATGGGGCAGCTTGATTTTTATTACATTTTGAAACTTTCTGTTCTCACCAACAACAAGAAAGCTGCAACTCAAACGCCGCTTACATAAACGACCTTCGCCTATTATTCTGGCAACGCGTTACCGCTCCTCTCTCGTAACCGTGCGCATGGCGACATGAAGAACTCAGACAGGGTTTTTGGAACCTTGCTCATTCTTGCGCTGCTATACCGTAAAGTCGTAAAGCAAATGACATACCATTCGAAAGAGCTCTTCATGCTCCTTTAAACAGTATATTGAACATTCGAACATTCTTTTTATTTCTGGATAAAAAAGGCGAAATACCTGAAAAATCGCGATTTTTGGCGCAGTAAAAAACCAAAAAATCATGTTTTGCCTTATATTTTCCGAAAATAGATAAAATCTGAGGTAGGCTGCATATGGATAGAGCATAAAAAGCTCTATCAGATGGTACCTAGAAAACATGCGTTCACCTGCAAAGAATTGAATAACGCGTATCCTTGTTCTCGAAGCTGCTAATGGCCATATCTCCTGACTTTAAAAGTTGAGGCCTTCAAGCCTTCATGGGTTTAGTGACTGTCCCACCACCCACTCCAGCAGTGGTAGTTTGGGTGGTCTCGCATGTTTCACCGCGCAGATACTGCCCAAAGTTTAAAGTTTGTCAAAGTGACTAACTTTGCATTTCAGCCACTATAAAAATTATTACGTATGTAAATGACTCTATATAGGTATTTTCTGAAAGAGAATAATTTCTACTAACATCATCAAAATTAAGAAGTTCAACCACTTTTCTTTTTTGAGAAATCTACAGTTATTTTCTAAGTGCCCCATTTTTTATCGATCACCCTAATAACTAAGATATGGATCTCTCGCTAAGCAAATGTGATTTCCGTAATCAGAAGGTCAATAACCTTTATGAGCGAGTTTTCAAGTCAATAACCTTTATGAGCGAGTTTTCAAGATGTGCGGGTCATATGATTTTTCTCACTTGCTCTCCCGAAGCTTACCGATGGGTTTTGGCTAAAATATTGATGATCTTAGATTGAGAGCAAACTTCGCTTTAGAGGGTTTTAGACATGTTGTTTAAGACTGTGGTCTTTGAGGATTAGAGAATCTTTTGGCAGAGATATGGTGAGGAAGCTGTAGCTAAGCCACAAAGTCCGTAAATTCGCCTGCACTTTCCGCGCACTTATTAGAAAACTTGGCTGCTTGCTTTAACATGTTAAGATCAGTGGAAACCGTGCTATTGAATGGTGCATGTCTCAGGCTCCAGTCTGTGACAGACGCCAAGTTACGAGCTTACGATATCAGGTCTTCATAAATGTTGTCCAAAACGCAAAGATCGCAAACTTCGAAATTCCTCGTGAATGGTCGCATGACACACTGATCGTGCTCACTTCGCTCAGGAGGACTTCCCGTAATGGATGCTGTATTTGTGTGTGCTTCAGCTATCTAGTTAAATTTAAAAAAACTTTGTGGCTAGAGCTCAGATCTATCTAACTACCTTATCAATATGGAAGGAACCCATGAGCGAAGTGAACACAAATTTGTAGTCGTGTTCTGTAACCAGTCACGATGGAGTTTTGACGAAGTATGCGACCTTTGCGTTTTATGCAATATTCACGAGGACGTATTTTCGTAAGTCGTGAATCGGCGATTGTTATAGAGTGGAGATTGAGACATGCGCCGTTCATCAGCATAGCTTCCTAATGACTTCTAAAGGCAAGCGGGCAAATACTCTAATAGATTCCCGAAAAGTACAGGCGAATTCACGAACTTCATTGCTTGGCTACAGCTCCCTCACCGTATCTCTGCCAGAAGACCTGTATCCCGCAAACGCCATGATTTTCGCAAACAGCAGGTTCGAAAACCTCCACGAGCAAAGATTTCTTTCACTTCAAGATCAAATTTTGACCAAAACTCGTCGGCGAGCTTCAGAGCATAAGACGAAAAAAATTAAATAAAATGCACTACTTGGAGAACTTGCTCGTGGAGGTTTAACACATTGACGACCATGCAGATTTTTGGTTGTCTGCCTCCTGGGACCAAAGCTTTTTACGGACCAGCCCACATTTTTCAACTATAATTACGCATACTGCCATCTAAGCACACCTACAGTAAATCTGAAAGGCCGATGAAAAAGGAAGAGGTCATCCTCAGATTCAATGCAAAAGAGAGCTCATGGAATGAGTTTATCCCAAGATAGTAGTCATTTTAAAAGAATTCAAACCTTGACACACATGGTGTGTCAAGCGGTCCCACGAGGCAGTCATTGTTTGACACACCATGTGTGTCAAGCTGTCGTCAATGTGTTAACCATAATGTTATCAATAATATCAGTGCGCTACATTTGCTTCGCAAAGGCTCGCACTGGTTCCACTATCTGAATGCCCTACTCCCGCATAATGATAGCATTGAAACTCACCGCGCAATCCCGACTATTACGAATAAAATGTGAGCAACTACTCATTCTGAAAGCTTTTCCATGTAAAATCGGTGAATTGCGTGTCTGAAACCTTTTGCAGAAGAACAAACGCAAATCTGAATAGGTTCTTGCATTTTCCATTGTTTTGGTAGTGGCCATAAGAACAATAATCACCGTGAGCTTTATCTTTGTGCAAAAGTCATGTGAAATGTCTGGTAAAACCTTGGAAAATTGGCCATTTACGCAACCCATACTTTTTGGCGCCGTTTTTGTAAAGCAGGAGACTTTTGATCACTCTTTTTGGGCCTAAGTCTATGGACTTGCACATTTACTTACCAAATACATCCACGACTTTGCAAAAAATGGAAATACGGACCCGATTTTGCGGGTCAGAAGCCCAGTGTATCCGTTGGACGCGCAGTTTATGAGGGATCCATTCAACGAATCTGCTCGTGGTTTCGCTTGATGGACTTTCATGATGGTGGCATGCGCTGTGATAAATTGAGCCCTAGAGGTTGGCTGGAATACACTCAACGAATTTGTTAACACACACACACACACACACACACACACACACACACACACACACACACACACACACACACACACACACACACACACACACACACACACACACACACACACACACACACACACACACACACACACACACACACACACACACACACACACACACACACACACACACACACACACACACACACACACACACACACACACACAAAGTCGCGTAAATATCCTTAGCCCGTCATTATGAGTAGTGAAAATCATGCAGACAGTCGAAAAGCATTTTTTCGATCTTTGAAAGAAGGTTCTTGTTTATATAGATCTTGTCTATCAATCAATATACCTCGACATCAATGTTCGAAAACCAAATTTTTGATGTCACTTTCGAAGTTGCACCTCCTGCTCGTGGAAAATTCCAGGTAGGATATTCATTGAAAAAAGCATTCGGTTTCTAACTCCATCTCTCAGATTCCGGTCAGATTGAAGCAGGGCAAACTAGCCTTAGCTGGAGCCACATTTCTGCGACTCGATCGGTATAATGATATGGGCGATTGTATGAGCAAAGGAGTTCTTCGTTCCTACTGCACATGCAAAAATCGGGTACATTGATCTCATTTAGGAAATGCAATTAGTTGTTTGAGCAAAGTGACTTGCTATGTTTTGTTTTGATAATAAAATTTTATGAGTAGTGTAGATGAGAACAAAGCTATTGTGCACTTTGTGATAACCTTAACCAAGTTCTTATGAAAATGTCTTTCTTGGTAAACGTTTTCGAGAACAAAATGTCAACTCGAGTTTTCCTTGGCAAATGCTTTTGAATTGAAAAATGTCAAATCAAAGCTTTGACCTCTTCTCAAACGAGGGTCTTGTAATCGGTTGACAGTGGTAAGAGAAGGCGGCGGTGCAGGAGGAACCAGAGCTCTTGACCCCTGTATCCAAGAGAGAAAGGGGAGGAGCTGGCTGCATGCCAAGAAGGCTCTGGCAACCCTCCAAGCTCCGCCCCGCGCGCTGAGCCTGAGTTTTGCCTTTTTTGCTCAGGAATTCGCGGAAGGAAAAGTTTAATTTAAAAGACTTGGAGTGGAGATACAGAGAAGGGAAAACAAATTTGTGGCTAGTTTTGAAAGGCGAATCTTGTGAATGAACTTTTATATGAATTCACATCAATGCAATTCATCTTCCTTTAAAAGATTGGAATTGATGAAATATTTTTTAGAGGGGTAAAAGCTTCGGAAATTTTTCTGAACTCCTATAAATGGCTTCGCGGAAAACTTACTCTATATTGCAATTTATTTTCCTGAGCTAATTTTCTCAATCTTTTACGATAGTCACTGCGTTAGTTGCATTTGAGCCAATCGATAGCCGATTATTTGACCTTTGCAGGATCAAGCCAGTCGTCTGATGAGCCAAGAAAGTCATAATTCAAGTACTTTATTCTTTGTTAACTCCAAAGTATTTTACTTGGGGAGGGGGAAAGGGGAGGGAAAGGGTGAGAAAAATTCGCGAGAAAGCCGTTGAAAAGTCATGCTTCAAGAGGTGAACTTGCGAAAGTAGATGACAAATTATTCATCAAAAATTTTCGAGTTGCAAAATTGTTTCAAAAAGGTGAACTTGCGAAAGTAGATGCCAAATTATTCATCAAAAATTTTCGAGTTGCAAAATTAGAATCGGGCAAAAAGTTGAAAAAAAGCAGATAAAGTCACCAAAACTTGTCTGTTATAACAGTTATAGTAGTTTACATTGGTTTCGCCCCATTTGATATTGTCCTACTTCTCTAATCCTATGCCTCGACAACTGCCAGCGGGGTAAAATTGTCCAGGTTTGGTTCGCACTTCAAATCTGAGCTGTGAAGCTTTACTGAGCCTTCTCTCAAGGCATAAGATGTTTGCATTTGCATTTTACGTCATTCTTGGATCTGACAAGGGAAGTCACTTTACTTAGGTCGGGCTTTTGAAATGAGACACAGATATTTAGAATCAGCTCGGAACGCTGATTCAAAATGTGCTATCCTTAGCTGCGAAGCGTTTCTCTGAAGCGAGTTATGAGCTTTTTTAGTAGGTCTCGTTGACATACAACTGAATATGGAAAGAAGGTCTTTAAATGAAAATCTGCCCAAAAAGTGGTGGAAAATCAAAATAACATCAAATTGAGTCATTTGGCTTTGATAAGGTACAATATGCATTTATGCTACTATCTAGATGATGATACCATAGCATGCCTAAGTCGGTCAACACGCAAAATTTGCTCAAGAAAAAGCTCATAACTCGCTTTAGAGGAATGCTTCGCAGCTAAAGAAAGCAGATTTGAAATCAGCGTTTCAAGCTGATTCCAACCATATGCGTCTCATTTCAAAAGCCCGACCTAAGTTAAGTGACTTCCCTTGTGAGTATCCAGAAGATTTCTTAGTCTCTTTGTTAAAGTTATTATTAGAACCGCTCTGAAACTTCATTTTCGGCTTGTGTCCCCCTGCTTTGAATCAATCTTCTTTCTGGTCATTTTCTAGGCTTTGTATCATCATTTCGATTCTGAACAAAATTTAAAAACAATTTAATGGTAGTGTTCCATATATTGACTCTTAAAAAGATGGTTACTCTATTTATATATTAGGTTTATGACATGATACTATTTTTATTATTATCCGGTACCTGAAAACCTGTTTGAATACTTTACTGTCCATTTTTCAAGTTCCAGTTCATAGTTTAACCTCTTAATCCATCAGATTTGATCAATATCTGTTAGTCCATCCACCATTCTTGCTCAACACACAATGGGAGCATCTCGTGGGCGGAGCGATGGGCGGAGCCTCCTCTGCCTTACCCATTCCTCTTTGGATACAGGCAGCAAGGGCTTTGGTTCCTCCTGCACCACCTCCGTAAGAGAACTAGGTGGAACTAAGCGTTATTAGAAATCACAAAATTTTTGAAAGAAGCAAAAGTTAAATTTTCACTTTGAATAGGTCATGCAAAAAGTTGGGTTAGCTCCTGTGCAAATGATATGCAAAATGAAATTTTGCTGGGCTTTCGATTGTTAAGAAAAGAAGATGTGAGAGCGGAATTTGACACTTTTATATGTTCACATTCTCAACTTTACGGGTGGGGGGGGGGGGCGTTAGGTACCCAGCCATTAGTGGTATACACTAAGCCACGCCCCTTGGTTCTTCAACAGCGATACACCAAAACCTGGCTGCTAGCAGCTCCCCGACTCGCTAAAGCGCTGGCGCTTGCGACCCACACAAAAACAGTTCGAGATCAAAAGAAATTGCGCGAATGAAAGCGCAAGTTTGTACGCAACGTTTTTCAATTGCTTCTTTTTTATCAATTTTTGAATCACAGAAATTCGGCGGTGAAAGTCAAAAACAAGGTAAAGCTTTTATGAGCACTTCACATACCTTTGCAAGAAAAAATATAAAGTAAACTTTGTAGAATTCCAATGAACCAATTTTATGATTTCAATGAAGCAAAGCACACTTTCGAAGTTGCTCCTGGCACTTAGTTGCACAAAATATTCTCTTGTTTCGAAAAACTGCTTCAAATATATTATAGACGCCGGAAGTGGAACCGATCGGAAGAAGAGCTTCGACGAGAACTCGTCATCAGAAATCAGAAATTTATGGAGGTCTACGTGACCCATAATCTATGGGAAGGGCACAAACTCTCTTCCAGTCAATGAAAATTTTGCATTATAGAGCGATTTTGAAGCCAATTTTGATAAAATGTGTCTCAATAGAATAAAACAGGAAAAAGCAACAACCTTTACTGAGAGCAATTTTGACAAAATCTTACGCTTTTTAGTGAAGAAATTCATAGCTTTATTTGGATAAATTGATCATATTTTGGCTGCTGGAAAAGAGAATGAATATACAATTGCATTATCAAAGTCCTCCAAGAAAAAACAAAACGGAGAACATAGACATGAAATTACAGTAGCTTAATGAAATATCTATATGGGAAAAACACTACGGAGAACATAGACATGAAATTACAGTAGCTCAATGAAATATCTATACGGGATGCGAATTCCGAAATAAGAAAGTGTGCTTATCAACGTAATGTTCCATAAATCTGCTGACCTCGGCAATGACCAAAGTAATAACCTCAAAAATCCAGACAATGTAGCTCACAGTTCTGTGGCAATATTAATGCACCTATAACTTCACATCTCATAACGAGGCCGACGACAATATGCGAAGGGAAGTTCGTGCAACTTATTTGCCAGGAACATCTCTGAAAGTGTGCTTTGCTTCATCAAAATCATAACATTTTGGTTCATTGAAATTCTACAATGTTCACCTTTTTTGAAGTTCTCTCGGACAATTCCTCCCACGGATTAGATCTATCACAATTTTTTTCGTGTAAAACTATGTGAAGTGCTCATATAAGCTTTACCTCATCACCAAATTTCTGTAATTCTAAAATTGATTCAAAAAAGAGACAATAGAATAACGTTGTGTACAACCTCGTGTTTTCATTCGCGCATTTTTTTGGTCTTCTCGAACTTGTTTCCTGTGGGTCGCAAGCGTCAGCGTTTTAGTGAGCTAGGTGAGCTGTTCTAGCAGCTAGGATTTGGTGTATCATTAGGTACCCGCTGTGGAAGAGCGAAGGGGCATGGCTTAGGTATACTACTAATGGCTGGGTACCTAACGCCCCTCAGCTACCTAAGGCCATGCACCCAAACTTTACGAGATTGCTTTAGGTAAAAATTATTTTTTTTTGCAATTTCAAATAGGCGGTCCTTGGAAAATTTCATGCTTCCAAGACTATTCGACAAGTGCTGTAAAAAAAAACCGTATGCGCTGCGTTGTCAGGGCATATGATACTGAAAGAGTACTGCTTGATTGGCTACGCCCGCCTGCAATCTGCCTATGATTGGCGATTGTCTGAGCATTGGAAGCAGCCACACTGGTGGCAACAAAATTCGCTTAAGGTATGTACTTTCATTTTTGCGGGGCTCCTCTCTCTTTATCGCTGGGCGTCGCTGATATGTCTCGCTTTGTTGTGAAGATACGTAATGTAGACAGTGATATAAGTAGAATATAAAAGCCGCGCTTGCTTTACCAATACGAGGCAGTCATTTTGTTTCTTTGGTACACCCCTTATTTCAAAAATCATAGCATATCCATCTTTACATTACAGTTCCGAGCATCCTTTACGACTTCACATTGTATTATAGTAGCTGTCCCATTTTGCGGAGTGCCACCATAGTATCCATGGACTATAAATCCATTGCTTTTTCAAAGTGCCTTTTTTTTCTCAGAATCATCTAATCATAGGCAGGGTCAAAGTGGGGTGTGGCATGCCAAACCTCGGGGGGGGGGGGGGGAATGTAGAGGGGTCAGAGAGGGGGGTGTAGAGGAGTTAAGGAAGCGGGAGGGGAGAGTGGTTGTCATTGAGGTGATATGATGTTAGCGTTAACACAATATCCGTTAACAATGTCAGAAAGCTTATTATGCAAAATATTGATTGATGTTTTGTCTTACCATCGTATACATACAGTAAATAAAGAGCCCTGAAAGCATAAGAGCTTCATTTTCGTAATTAGCATACCAAGTAACCTCTGTGTGCCAAGTTTCACAATTTCTAAGGTTTCCAAATACTGGGCCGCCTAAGTGAGAT